CCTAGTTCCAACCCTGGTTCCAAGTTCCAACCCTGGTTCCAAGTTCCAACCCTAGTTCCAAGTTCCAACCCTAGTTCCAACCCTAGTTCCAACCCCGATTACATTGCTTGGTTGTTCCAACACACTTCAACTTGGACTCCGTAACACATTGTAGTGGCTTGACTACTGTCTTCGGCCAAATAGAACAAGAACGCACAGTCGTTATCACTGTATCTAGACTGAAGGATGCCCCAAATACAGCTGTAATGGCTGTGCGTTTTGTTTCGGGGGAAGACGGTAGCCAACAATAATGCAACAAACAATTTGAGGAACTTATAGGTATATACTATAGAGTAAAATAACAAGTTCCACTCAAGATTGAAAGTTGTCTTGTCCGGGTGATTTCTCTTCTACCCTTCATAATAACGCAGGACTTACGTTCCCTCCCCTTCCTGCTTTCTCCTCGACCCTTCACGATACCACAGGAGTTGTATGTGTATTGTGTACTTGGCTAATTTTGGCAAGCCTCCAGGCACAAAGTAGAGCAATTTTGGACATCGCGTATTTTTATTTATTTTTTTCCTGAGTCAAAGTGCCTGGCGACAAATTTAAATTTTGTAATGTAAAAAAAAAACAACTGGGCATTGTCTGGTGCAAACACTGCAGACTTTTCAAATTTCAAAATGTGTCCTTTTTTTGTTTTTTAGTCGTTCTGGTTGGTTGGTCAGCGGAACTGAGCATTACGGACTTATATCCCCGTGATAATCTTCATTCCTTTTTTTTTTTTTTTTTCCCCTGAATTTCACTGCGCTCTGAGTTTGCCAAGCCTGGGTACCACTCCGTTTTCTTTCTGGTACTCTCACGGAAAGAACAACAAAAAAAAAAAGAAGAAGAAAAGTTGCAACAGTGAACCTTAGAAAAGAAGAAGAAGAATAAAAGGAAACAAAGCATACTTGCGGCGCACCGGCACTGTGCGCTGCGCAGTGCGCGGACCCAGCCCGGCGCATGCCGCGCATCTGGGTGCTCAGTGCGCACTGTGCTGCACACGTCTGGTGTGCTGCGCGCATGTGCGCAATGTATATTTCCATGTTCTAGCGGTAGATTCATCTGATTTTGTTCTCTCTCTCTCTCTCTCTCTCTCTCTCTCTCTCTCTCTCCCCTCCCGACTTCTTCCGCCGCTTCCCACCATCCCACCTTTGGCCTTTCTCCCGCCTTCCGCCATCCACCATTGCTACTTCTCTCTCCCTCTTCCC